TTTATCAAAATTATTTTCCAAGACAAATGAATCTTAGCTTCAGATGGTGAAAATGTGCTTGCATCGATTACTTAATGATTGATAACAATTAGTCAGTATTTTAAAAATGTAAAGAACTTTTGCAATGAAATCGTTCAATTAAATAAAGATTTAGCAATTAATGAGACCTGAGCTTGACAAAAAATCATATGAGGGTTAAGACCCAAATATAATGGGTTTATGACAAATGGATATATTAAATGATCTCTAGATTGAGGGTTGGAATAAAATATCCTTGAAAGCTACTAGAATCTCTATTAATGGTAAGGTGGCAAGACTAGTTGAACATAATAGGCACTATTGGGATGTAAATCAAGTTCATTCCTTATATCCCCTAGAAGTTGTTGCAACAATTTTGAATACTAGTCTTCCTTTAGGTTCCATTCGCTTTTTCGTAAGTTTCTTATCCAGGTAAATGCAGTTACCTAGGTAAGTTTTTCCTGGGAAACACTTACCCAAGTAAATGCATTTACCTATGTTCTTTTATTCTCATGTAAATAAGGGAATGACCATTTTAGCCATAAAAATCCATTATTGAAAAGGGCATTTTTGTCCCATTCAAGTGTTGACAACTTTCCCCTAGGTGGGAAAGTTATTTACCCACATAGGAGATAGGTATCACTTACCCGGTCCCACATATATCTGAAAAAAAAACATGGGCTTCTTAGTCAATAGGAACCAAAATCCCATTGACCAACTTTCCCCCCTCTCAAAATCGGAAAAAAGAATGCCCCCTTAGTGGGAATTGTGAGAGAAGATTCTCTTCTTTGGTAGCAAACACCTCATGACCAATTTTATACTTCCTCAGCATACAAGTCATTAGTGTATGTGTGCCCTCAAATTTCTGTAGCCCAGGTGGCTTTTGGTGATACTTCTTGGAGTAAGTTTTGGTGCTTCAAACTTTTACTTTCTTGGATCCAGATTTTCATTTAGAAGTGTATTAATCATAATGTCTTGGTGCTCAATAAACTTGATGTCTTCATGCACAAGTTTACATAGTTTGCCCCATCTGTCATAGTAATGAAGATTTATTGGAACACTTACTATTTCAGTGCCCTAGTGTAAAGATCATTTAGCACACTTCCCTTCCAGGTTTTCTTGTTAAGACCCACCCAAAGGGTCTGATCTCAGCTCCCATTTGGTTCATATGGATAGAGGTCTAAAATCAGAGTTGGAATGAGCCATTCCAATTCCAACTATTTGGTTGGGTGGAATCGGAATCCCATTTACATTTGTGGTGGAATGGCATTCTCCCATTTGAGGGAATGTCCATTCCACATTCCCTCCCCCTCCCTTGGGAATGAAATCCCATTCTGATTCTTGTTTGAACCAAACAAATTATAGGAATAGACCATTCCGATTCCAATTCCAACATCAAACCAAATGGACCCTTAGTTTTTCTTTAATGTTTATTGCTACTTTGGAAGATATGGAAAGCTCATTGCTAATTAGTTTCTGATAACATCCCATTCAAGTGGTGATGTCCCTTCCTCTACTTTGGCTTCACTCCCTAAGCACTAAGGGTGTCAATGGACTGGTTTTGGATTGGACCCCGTCCAGTCCAAAATCAATTTGAACGGATTGAACGGACCAACAAGACATATTGGATTGGACCTAGTCCATCCATAACAAATTTACATTGAATTGGGTTGGATTAAGCCAATATCTAGTCCATTGATATAAGATAAGAATATATGTGTCAATGGATCGGGTTTGGATTGAAATCAGCCTAAATCAAAATAAACTTGAACAGATTGGACAATCCAGACATTAAATTGGACCAGTCTGAATTGATCCAAAACATTCATTTGATTGGATTGGACATGGTCCATTTATAATGGACTCACATTGGACTGGATCGGATTGGACCAAATCCAGTACAATTGACACCCCTACTAGTAAGCACTAGTACTAACTTCCTTGCAATAGTGTTAAAGTTAACTTTGACGAGACTTGTGGGGCTCATTCTTTAGGTGTGGGATTTGCCCTAAGGGATTACTGTAGCTCTCTCTTAGTGGCCATAGGAATAAAGTTTTGAGGTTTGTTCACCTTTGAAGATTGAAGCGCTTGAAGGGTATGCTCAGATTGTTATTCATATCCTGTTGGAGGAAGAATTCGATCCTTGGCATATCTCCAATGTAATTTAAATGTTGCACATTGTATTGCAGAGATGTGCCCTTAATCTATCTTACGGCACTACATGTCCTATCCTCTTTCATGCTAGAGGCTTTGTACTTGGATTGTGATTTGAGCAATGTTTAGGCTATGTTTGGTTTCAAGGAAAAGGTAGGGAAAGGAAGGGAAATGTAGGAAAACCTATACAAGTTTTGTAAATGTTTCCTTACCTTTCCCTTCCTTTCCCTACTTTTTCCTTCAAACCAAATTTGCCTTTGGCAAAAAAGAATATGGAAGGTAATTAAAACCTATGCACCCTATTTAATTGAATCTTCCTTGACTATAATTACATCCATCTATTAATATTGTTATTGTTAATGGTGTCAATGGACTGGTTTTGGATTGGACCCCATCCAGACCAAAATCAATTTGGACGGATTGGATGGACCAACAAGACATATTGGATTGGACCAATCTGAATATTTATTAGATTGGATTGGACCTGGTCTGTCGGTAACAAATTTATATTGGATTGGGTTGGATTAAGCCAATATCCGGTCCATTGATATAAAATAAGAATATATGTGTCAATGGACTGGATTTGGGTTGAAACCAATTTAAATCAAAATGAATTTGAACAGATTTGATGGTCCAATTCAACAGTCCAGACATTGAATTAGACTGGTCCAAATTAATCCAAAACACTCATTGGATTGGATTGGACCTGGTCCATTTATAATGGACTCATATTGGAATGGATCGAATTGGACCAAATCCAGTCTAATTGACATCCCTAATCATTGTCAGCATCTCTCTCTTTCTCTCTCTCTCTCTTCTCACACAAAATTAGTTGCTTCTACTTAAAAAGAGGTCAACCAAAGTCTAATATGGGGTCATATCATGGTGTCAATTCTCAACACCATCAAATAGGAGAAACCTGATTGCAATTTTCCCCATTATAGCAAGGTACTTGGCCTTTTGGTGGAGGCAGGGTTGGAGATGGGGTTAATAGGGATCCCCCATCTGGGAGGGGAGTGAAGTCCTCGCCCTGCCCTAGCCCCAATTATATATAATAAATATTATTTATATTATATTATTATTTATATTATATATCAAAATATATTTAAACTTTTCCTTTATTTTAAATAAATCTATTTTCTAAAAATACTTTCAATTAAAATGTTTTGATGATTTGGCTCCCCATGGGGAATTCGTCTCTGTCAAGGATTAGGGACGGATGATAATTTTTATTAGGAATCGGGGTCAAGAACATGGATTTGTTTCAAAATCAGGATCAGAGATGAAGAATATGATCTCCACCCAGGGCCTGTTCCATTTACCATTCTTAGACAAATCCCAAGATGGTTTCCATACTTAGGGCTTGAATACCATAATTTGGTTGTTCTCATGATAATCAGTGTTACTGGTATTTGACTCATCAACCTGAAGCCAGAGCTGATGATGATGTTTAATGGAGAAAAATAAATCAATGACATGTATTTTAGATTTTAAACACTAGTGAAATAGGATCTCCATTCGGTTTAAATTATAGGATTTAGTTACCTAAAGTAACACTCGATTCAGCAGTTTATCAAAATCATGGTGGTCATCAATGTTTGAGGCATGATACCATTTTCGGCATCATAGTCCAACGCCAAAATACAAAATGAAAAGTGAGAAACATGAGTGAGAAGGCTTCTAAACTTCAATAATATTCCATTCCAAGTTATGTTAGCAGGTTTAGCTTAGGTGAGATTTAGATTGGAAAACTTGGGCTTTGGCCTCGGTTTGGGATTGACCCTGAGGTCCATTCGGTTGGCTCATAGTCCAGTCAAACACATTCAATCCGTTAGAGTTACGAGTTATTCAAATTTCTCTCGTCAACTTAAAATTTCCCTTTTTTTTTTTTTACTTTTTCTAATTTTTAAATCCGGCTCTTGTCAAAATTTGAATTAGAACTGAACCCAATTTAATAAGGATGTTAATTTTCCCCACTTCCACTGGTACCTGACCTTCTTGACCCGATGGGGTCAAAGATGGGGATTGTTTTGGTGGGGCGGAGATGGAAACGAGATTAATAGAAATCCTCCACCCTGTTCCCGCTCCACCCCGACCCCAATTTTATATATATATATATATATATATATATATATATATTAAGTACATATTATATATGATATTATTTATATTATATATCAAAATATATTTAAAATATTATTTACATTTTTAATTTTTTTATTTTAAATATATTTATTTTTCAAAAAATTCAATTAATTAAAAAATTTTAGGAATTTGGATCCTGATTGAAATCGGAGACAGGGATATGATCCCCACTCCAAACTCGCCCAATTCCTACAAAGTAGTGTAAAATATTAACTTGGCGCAACCCGAATTTCCCTATGAACTTGCCTTTAGCTTTTACATTACAAAACTCTACAAGGAGACTTGAACGTAGATCTAGATTTTAACTCACACTTTTAAATTACTACTTCAAGCTTATATTATGATCCTTTGTCTCATCAAATTACACAATTGGACTTTCTCATGCATTAACGATCAGGTACATATGGATACCCGACATGCACCCCTAACTACATAGACTCTCTTCCAGGCCAGATTAATGCCCTTATATAACTTGTAACACTCCAAAATTTTTATTTTCATAAGGAACAAGAAATGCAAAAATGGTACAAATAATAATTTATTTGTTATTTATTTTGAGGGAAAAATATGACATTCTTGCAAGGATTATCACTTTATTTCAGTGATGATATTCTATTAAATATGGTTGATATGGATGGATAAAATAATCGCCTAATGGTTGATGACAGCGGAATCGGAAGCCAGAAGTCTTCATGAAGGCTAGCTTGAAGTTCTACCTAGATCCTAGAGTTGGACATCACTTCAGTTGTAATTGAGGGAGACGCAATCGCAAAGAAGGTAATTCAGACTTTGTTGGAGACTGCCATTTCTCCTCCGTGGGCCGTGGCAAATACAACAACATCTAATTTTCGAGTGCAAAGCCATTCTCAACTCCTTCAACCTGTTCTCAGTGTATGTATTACATTCCAAGGAGTGCCAACAATGATGAGCATCTCCAGATCTCCTAGCCAAGTATGGTTTAAAAGCCCATACGGTACACACATGGTCTGTTTGCCGTGATTGTATCACTTCGGTGTTATCCTTAATGAATCCGCCTACATTGACTTGGATAAAAAAAAAAGTAAAGACATGACGTCCGACCGTTTGAACCGGCAATGGATGTACATGATGTACGGTTCATCCTCAAAAACATTTTTCTGGAATCGTCTCCTCCTTTGATCCCGATCTCGATTCCTCGATACGTAAAAGTGGACTCGTAAGTCTTGTAGAATTCTTCGTACCCCTCTTGGCCGGAAGGGGTCTCTGCAATCTGAATTGTTCTTATTATCAATCCTACCATGAACTTTACGTCTCCGATCCAATTTCCTTCTTCGAACTAGGGTTTCTTATTTCCTGACACGCAGTTATTGGACTCTTTTGATCCCTGTTATGTCGAATTCCCACAGAAATGCCCCATACGGCTCTGCTCATTTCAGATCTAGGTATTGGATCCTCATGAGAAAGGGTTAGCAATTATTGGACGCCTGAGTTCGTTTTCGCTGATTTTCTATTTTGGTTTTGCAGAGATGGTCTTAGCACGAGAGCAGTGCCTAATTCAAATGAAATCCAGTTGCAGATCGATCCTGTGCACGGAGACTTGGACGAAGAGATTACTGGTCTCCGCAAACAGATTAAACAACTGAAAAATGTAAGATTATTTATTTCTCTTTTTTGCTGCCGTTATTGTTGATTTGTTGGTTCTATTGTATTGGACATAGATGACAATTTGTTCTTTTCTATTGATGGATAATGACAATATTGTTCTTCATAAATTGAAGATTCACTTTGGAGAATGGTCGCGATTTTTATTTTTCTGGCTTGTGTTCGTGTTTTGTTAAGAAACTTGTTTTATGGAAAAGAGAATTTTTCACGGGTAAGTTAGTGTTTGAATGTTTATTACCAATTAAAAATCCAGTTGTTCACCATATTCTTCTGCTTTCGATTTTTCATCTATTTTTTTTTGTTTTTCTTTTCTGATCATAAACAAGAAAATTAAGGCGAATCTTTCAATGAAAGTTAAGGCGAATCTTTTTTGTTTGGATATTTTCCCTGAATTTTTTAGATTTGCTCCCAATGAAACTTTTCAATGCGAATCTTTCAATAAAATTAAGGCGCATATCTGTCTTATGAGTTATTCCCCATGTTTTCCATGAATGGATGTTTCTCACTGTCGTCTAGAGGAGAAGCACCACAATTAGGGGAAGAAAAACTGGAACAGAATATGTGAAGTTCAATTTTGTGATGCAACAATAAGAACGCCAAATTTATCACCACCACAAATGGCACATTTTCCATTTTCCATATTTACCTTTAATTGTTGTTCTGAGAATGAAACTTGACGCAATGGTTGGGTTGCTTCATTGCGACCTGGATGACCAGGGTTCAGGCCTTGGGAACAGCCTCTCTGTATGTGCAAGAGTAAGGCTGCATACGTCTGTCCCTCCCCAGACTCTACATTGACGGGAGCCTTGTGCACTGGGCTGCCCTTTACCTTTAACTGTTGTTTTATACCCATCCATTTGCTATTAAACCCCATACTTGAGAAACTTCGATGTATGTCATTGTCAGCTATGTTGGCAGAAATGTAAGTGGGATGTGTCTGAAATGTTTCTTATACAATACCTTTTACTCTTATGGGTTATAACTTATACGTCTAAAGACTTTTTCCTGCTAGCTAATATTATTTTGGATCTCACATTTATGGAGATAAAGCCATCTAAAAGCCTGTTCTTTTTTACCATCTACTTCATAGTGAAAGTTCTTGTCTTTTTTATGCTATATTTTGTGATTGTCAACAATAACCAATTGTTCCATATCCATTATTAGATTGCGAAAACTATCCTAACATGCGTTTTTAAGAAGATAATATACACGAATTTTGTGACCTCGACTTTCATCTCCCTTACTTAGATATTAGACTTTCTTTATTAGCAAATTACATATAAGGCTTCTCAGCAAGACTTCTCTTTAATCAACTATGAGTGAGATTTAACTCATGAATACAGATCAATCAGTAATCTTTTCTTATTGTAAGAACTAAGAACATCCTAAAGTTGTATGGAAGTTTCCAATCGAATACTCGGAACATAATGTAGTTATTAAATACTCTGAAGTCAGAACATTAAAAGGGGCATCTCTCAATTTTCTTAATGCTCTTAAAATTCCACCCAAGCATTATGATGGTTTCAGACTTTTTCACCAAATCTCTTCCTAGCATGAACCTAGCATGAAGATGGTGTTGGATTCTCATGAAACTCTGATCAATTCCATAGTATGTAAATCTAACTCTTACTAGGCAAAAGTCTTTCTAGCTTTGAAAGGCCAGAAAGATCTCCTCCAACATCAGGTGCACTCTAAGCTGAACAGCAACTAACTTACCAACCTGATGTCAACAAGTGAACTAATATTATAAGACCTTTTACTTATAATATTTACATATCATCATTACGACCTAAATAATAAAATTAAAAGAATCATTCTATTCTTGAGATGTATAAAATTCAAATTGTCGTACAAAATATGAAAACCCAGGTCAGGTTTACTATAAGTTGGGCATTTTTACAAGTTGTGATAACATAAATTAAAGGGCAGGGAGTCAAACAGAGACTTTTCTAGAGGATTCTGTCCTTTTTTGCTGGGGAAACCAAATATTCCTTTCAGCAATTTTACCCTTGTGAGGCTTAACTTTATAATTTCCTTAGATTTGTTTCTTTTGTTCTCTCTCTCTCTCTCTCGTTTTAGACTGTATGAACATCAGGGCTGTGGCTGTAGTCAGCTGATAGCCTGATATTGCTCCTCTCTTCAACCTCCAAGATCTTATTGCGTGCCTCCATTACTTTCCAGCTTAAACAAATGGATTGGTGTATTCAACGCACACTTGTAAAACCAGAATTTCTAACTTGCTAAGTGTCTTTATGAGGAAGCTATAACAGCCATAACAGAATAATTGGAAGTTGATATAATGCATCCTATTTTCAGTATCTCTTATTTAGTGGCTATTTTGTTTGTGAGGGGTGGGGATTTGTTCATGGGCTAACTTTGAAGGCCCATAGATCCAGACCTAGAAATCAGTTTCAAAACAAAGAGGTCACTACCCAGTGCTTGTTCCAGCTATCTGCAGTTTTGGGAAGGGTGGATTGGGTATGGACCTAATATCTGGCTTTTTTTTTCTTTTACAAAGTGATCACTCTGACACTTAAACCTGTGTTCTCATGCTTGTTTGCCCAATATTTTACTTATAAAATAATAAAATGAATAACTGAGAATTTTAAATAGGGGAATGTGGAAAATGCTATTCTAAGTTTTTCCATGAGCCACAAGCTTTCTTATAATATACCGGCTCTGGTTATTTTTGTATTTTTTAAATGCTCACTACTAGTACTGTAGGTATCTGTGGGTTGCATTTATCTTCTGTGTTGCTAGTACTCTTCAGAAATGTTCCTGATGTAAAGAATTTGGTTTTTTTGACCTCTCATTGATCAAAAGATATCTTAATATTAAGTAGTTTGCTTCAATTCCACCAAGAAACTGGACTGGCTAGATGTAGAACATCATAATAGAATCAACAGAATCCCCCTAAGCTCTTATATTGTGGAAATCCAATGTTACAGTGCAACATGAATGGAATCTTGTCTGAATGGATTAATTTATATTAAATTCTATGAAACAAGCTAAATGTTGAAAACAAAAGAACCATGACAAAATATAACACTGTTGCATAATTATCAGTTTCACATAATTCCTCCATGACTAAGTGCTTTCCTATTTTTTTCAAATAATAGTTATTGTCTGTCTGTTTGTGTTTGTATTTAGTTGTTATCATCTTAGTGCCATACTGCTTTCCCTTTGAGTTAATTTCATTATATATGTTCTTACTCAAATATAACACTGCAGGTAGCTCAAGACATAGGGTCAGAAGCAAAATTTCAGAATGACTTCATCACACAGCTGGTAGGGTTGAAAATCTGAATCTTGGTTGCTGAAAAAACTTTTGTTCATTTATTAACAACTATTAGACTTTAGGTACAGAATACAAAATATGTATATCTTGAATATTCTTACTAGTTTATTAGCATCTTCTCTTCTTAGCAAGGATATGATAGATGCTACTTTCTAATAATTTCTTTGGTTTTTGTTCTTAAAACAGCAAATGACCTTGATCAAAGCTCAAGCAGGGGTGAAAAACAACATGAGGAGGTTGAATAAGGGCATCATCCAGCAAGGTTCAAACCATGTCTTCCATGTGATTTTGTTTGCATTATTTTGCTTCGTCTTAGTCTATTTATGGTCCAAATTTTCTAAAAGATGAGTTCAGTTGGCTACTCTCTAAAGCCAAGTTATGGATTTTGAAGTTTAAAGGGTTTCTGGAAGTAATAGATGGATCACCAAAAGTTGAAAGTTGTAATGCAGGTTACTTTGTAAAGCTTTATTTTTTCTTTAATTTTTTAATTTTTCTGTACCTTGGCTGGTCTCTAGAGCCAAACTATGGCTTTTGAAGTTCAAAGGATCTCAGGAAGTAATCACCAAAGGTTGTAATGCAGGTTACTTTGTAAAGCTTTTTTTTATTTTTATTTTTTCCAATAGTTATGTACCTTGGCTACTCTCTAAAGCCAAACTATTGATTTTGAAATTTAAAGGGTCTCTGGAAGAATGCAGGTTACTTTGTAAAGACTTTATTTTTTTTTTTAATTTTTTTTCATAGTACCTTGGCTATTCTCTAAAGTCAAACTTTTTTTCTTAGTTTCTTTTTTTGCTGCCAAAAAGGTTGTATCATTTTCTTGGGCTTGATAAAAAAGAAAAAAAAAAATTATGAATCCACCACCTGCAATCAATATTTTGAACATTACCTGCTATCGTTTTATTTTTTGGTTGTAATTATTGCCTGCAATCCACCACCTTTAAACATATTCACAAAGATGCTGACCACATCAGATTTGCTCATGAAAGACATTGGCCCATCCTCAACGGCATCATACAACACACTCTTGCTAGCTTTACACCTCATCTGGATCTACTGGCATCATATATGTACACTAATATATTAAATAAATTTAATTTGAACTGAAATAATTGAAAATCGAACAAAAAATTTCGGTTTTAATTCAATTTTACATTTTAAATTTTGATTTAAAAATTCGATTTATTCGATTCGATTTTTAACCAATAAACCAATTACTCACCCCTACCTGTATCTACATGCTTGAAGGTACATTCCAATCAGCAATCCAATTGGTAACCAGCAGATCTCAATGTCCCCATGATACCATACACTTCAATCATATTCTCCTTACTCTTCTTCACTCAGCTGCACTTTTTCACAGAAGCCTTCTCAAAACAAAGATCTATTTGAAAACCTTGCACCTTGATTTCTACTCCAAAAGTAGCTGGCCTCCATTACCTTTTGAAGTCTCTTTAAATCTTTCTAATCTCCAAAATTCTAAAACAATTACTTTTGCAAAAAACATATTTTCTTAAAACCCCCGAATTCCTTCTGAATAAACACGATCAAGTTCAATTTACGCCTTATATCATGAAACACTCCACTGATAGACACGTAGTCAAGTTGAATGTCAGCCATAAAAGGGGAAAAAAAATCAAACTCATTATAATACCGATTATATGTCCATCGCTACGGATTATTCCCTTGTTTAAAAATTCTTAGTAGTATCTTTGTTAAAATTACTAGAAACTCTTAAACTCCCTGCTGCTTAAAATATCTCTAAAGTACAAACCCAATTCAAACCTTGATCAACTAATTAAAATCTAATATATATAAACCAACAACTTTTTCTTTCCGTATCATTGGAGAGAGTGTTGCAAAAATGCTACATAAATAATTAAGTACCATGTCCCACCAATTGTCACCCCATTAAAACAAATAGCCTATCTTTCCCTTCCTAAAATCTTATACAAATCTTCTTTATCATTGAAATATCGTCTACCCGTTACAAATCTTACGTCCTTTCTTCAATACAACTACTCTTTGCAAGTATTGGTGGATTAAATTACACGTTCAAATTCCGTAGTGGTGCAGTGAAATCAAGGTTAAAAGTATTGATATGTATTGGCCCGTATTACATGTTATGTATGGTATTGGGAATATCCTGATATGCCCTTATAAGATGTATCAGGGTTTTAACTAATTCAGGGGGCAAAGAGCCTTAAATCGGCCTCCTTTCTGAATTAGTTTTGAAAAAAAATTAAAAAAAAAAGTAAAAGAATACCGATACTGCCCGATACATCCTTACCGGCATATCAGATATATCGACATTTAGAACCTTGAGTGAAATAGTTAATAGGAGCATCAGATCTGCTGGCCTGTAGTGTCCCATTCATAGCGTACGCACAGCATATCCAGATTCAAATAGAAGAAGAAAAAAAAGGCATAATGGTATACATAAAAGAAGTTGTATTTGAATAAGATTCAGGATTCATGCTTTTAATCCGTATTTTAGGCTTTGTTCTTTGGGGATTAGAAGTTAGAAGTGTTTTTGCTTTATATTGTTATATTTTTAAAAGCAACTCCTGTCAAATGTTCATCGCTTACTTTTATTTCTCACAGCCTAGAGTAATGGTGATCAATCATGATGGGCCATTCTTAACACCTGTGCTAAGAGCTTTAGTCTAGGATAAGTGTCGGCCCGACCTGGACCTTGGGCTTGGATAGGCATGTCCTTGATCGGGTTGGGCCTATTATGCATTTATTGCATGTGTGATTTATATTCTAAATGTATTTATATTTCATAATTTGAAAATTTTTAAATTTAAATACATGCATTTAGATTTTAATTTAGAAAATATGAAAAATGAAAATGCATTTCAATATCTTGTTGATTTTTTTTGAAGGAAGGAATATCTTGTTGTTTTCGATTTTGAGAGCTTTTTATTGTAAACATCTATGGGAGATATTCGCAAACCACACTGAGATGCGCCTGTCAGGCACGCGCAGTGGGGTGCTAAGGCTAAGGACTAACAAGCCAGAAATTCTGCCTTAATACGAGGATGTCAAACTTGTGTACTTGTACTGCCTATGCATGTAGCTAGGTGAAGTTCTCTATTATCTACACTTCAAAAAAGAATTGTTCTATAATTTTACATAAAAATGTTCAAATGATTCAGCAAAAAGAAAAAGAAAATTTTCAAAAAACTAAGGACGTTTAATAGACACTACAAATAAATCCAGATGAAAGGAAGAGAAGAGACACTAATTTTTTCTTGAAACTAAAAAAAAATATTAAAATTTTTCTTTAATTGGGACGATCTATTCTAGTGCATTCATCCTTGGGCAAGATTTTGATGCATCATTTTTTCATGTAAAGGGTAATAAGCTTTTCTTCTTCCTTTTTGTTTCTTTTAATTTGAATTACCTTCAGATATCGCTTTTCCATCGGGTTATCTATATGACACGATAGAAAGCCTTATTGGACTGGATGGGCTGGAGACAAAATCATATACAATTGATTGGGCAATATGTAATATTACGCAGGAGGATGAGATGTTTTCCATGTGTGGTTGCGATGTTACGTGGGTAGACGTGCACAAAGTTTGTGTGAACAGGAGATCCGGAGTCATATCATGAGCTAACACTCCATGTTCAATGTACATAGGGCCCATGTGGGACCTACATCTTATATGTACAGAATACTGACATGTTCACTTGTGATTAGACCTGTTCATGGGCCGGGTTCGAGCTTGATTTTTGTCAAAATTTGAATAGATCAAATTTAAATTCCGAGCCTGACATAGTATAAATTTAGGCCCGAAGCCCAGCCTGTGAACAGGTCTAGTCATGATAGGTTTGCCTAGCCCACTCAGCCCACCATATATGATTTCGTTTCCAGCCATTCAGACTCCTTTCAAGAGCTTTGTTACAGCATTGAAGTCTATGATCAAGCTAACTTCTCGATACAGTGAATTCATCAATGAAATACAGCGGAGTCAAGTATTTCGGTGGGGGGTCTTTGGCCCCCCAAAACATTTTGTTTAAACGTTTAGGCTCAATTTGCAAAGAGTACAGATGTAAATATATACAGCGTAAATAAATACAAAATATATGGTTTTGCACTCTACATATTTGCATTTGTATTCCTTCCAAACTCAACCTTATTTATATAGTCAATAAATGGAGGCAGGGTCAAAAAATTAATAAAGTGGGTACTTGCCACCCCCCTCCCCTCTCCCAAAAATAAAAGAAAAAGCTTGAGATAAAATGCTAGTCCCAAAATAAAAAAAAAAGTGATTGTTTTTCTTAAAAAACCTGTAATAAACCCAAACCTTTCCACCTCATTTTTCTCCAAATTCTATCTCATTTATTGCTTAACTTTGGTCCCCCCCCCCCAAAAAAAAAAAAAAAAARAAAAYYCCTGGCTCCACCACTATGAACATCTGGCTAACTCGCTAGTAAAGAGGTTCATATTAAATGAACTTAAATTTGTTGAGCACAATAGCTGTTCAGTGATAAAATATATGGGGCCCATAGTGAAAAATTAAATGGTTGTGAGTCCCTTGTATTTTATTACTGGCATGGAGAGTTATCATAGGTTCTACAGCCCATTAAGCAGCTATTGTTTTCAGCTAATCCTTACTCATATAAAACAATATTATGTKCAAGTCCTAACCAAGTTGCTTCCGCATGGAAATTTAAAGGGAATGTAGATTAACTGAACACAATGGCTGTATAATGGGCTGTGGAACCAATGACAATGCCCCATGCCGGTTATAAAATGTATATGGCCCACAACCACTCAAGTTTTCAAGTTTTCAGTTATCATTTATGATTGGTGTGGAACATTATAATTGATTACACAATATGTTACATGTCCATCCCCTATTCCCTCCAGCTAATTCTATCTAGGTTAATGGGTCAACAATGATATATGGGCATATATAGGATTTGCTCCTCACATTACAGAGTTCGTGTTCTGTGAACCCGTGGGTTCTCGGGATGCATGAACCCGCCAATGATAAGTGACCACGTCGGTTGGGCGACATTGAATGTAATGCACATGGTCCTTTGGCCATTAACTGAAGTGGCCAGTTGAACTAGGCACAAAATGACAGAAAACGCATCTATCCTCTTAGTTCAAACTCCCACTCCTCCCATTTTCTGTTTCTCCTCCACCGACCCCAACCCCACAAACACCGATGAGCTCAATCCACACCGGTGTCCGTCAACGTGGTAGCCATCCACCGCGAGAGGAAAATCATTTGGCGGTACATTCTCTGACCGCTCTTCTTCTTCTTCTTCTTCTTCTTCTTACAAACCTAATGTTCTTTCTGGTTTTCTATTTTCAATAGATCAAAAATCACAAATCACACCGGCAGTCAATTTTCATCCGGACAAAGGTGAGTTACCCGAACCCCTAGTTATTAGTAAATTTTCTCCTGTTTGTTACTTCAGAAGAAGAAGAAACAGAAGTAACACTTCTGCGTTGGTTTAGTAGCTTAACCAATATTACTTGGTTCGGGTAACTCACCTTCGTTCGGATGAAACAGACCATTGGTGTGAGTTGTGGTTCTTCAATCTGTTGAAAATAGAAAACCAGAAAGAGCATTAGGTTTGTGGGAAGAAGAAGAGGGAGAGAAAGAGGAAGAGGAAGAAGAAGAATGGCCAGAGAACGTACTATTGGATGATTTTCCCCTCGCCACCGGTGGCTTCCATGTTGACGGACGCAGGTGATTGTGGGGTAGGGCTCGGTGGGGTTAACATTGGTTGTTGGGGCGGAACAGCATAGACTGTTGAGAGAGTTTATGGGCTGGACATGTAATAAACAGTTCACCTATTTAAAATAAATTAAGATATAATTATTAATTTATCATTCTCATGATAACGTGGTATTTCTAGGGATGCTGGCCCCCAACAACTAAAATTTTTTCGACTTCCATGGAGGAGAAACAAAAAATGGGAGGAAAGGAGTGGAAATTCGAACTGAAAGAATAGATGCATTTTTTGTCATTTTGTGTCTGATTTAACAAAATAGATGCATTTCGACTTCCATGGAAGCCAGTTAACATTACATTTAATGTCATACGACCAACGTGATCGCTTTTCGTAGGCCGGTTCAAGCATCCTGTAAACCCATGCGTTCACAAAACACGAACTCCACATTACATCCCATTGTGCATTCAAAACATCTTAATTATACAAATACGAGAGATGTTCCTAATGATGTGAGGTATGTGTGGGGAGCACATCTGTAGCTGGTGTGGGGCATTAATTATCATTGGTTCTACAATCAACTACACAGCCATGCTAAATTGCTAATTTATCTACCGATCATGCGTCCTTGTAATGATAATGAGATGAAGAAGTTGTTGCTTTTGTCTTTGGTAAGTAAATATATATATTTTTTATTTTAAAGTTTTAATCTCTTGATTCGATATTCTCTCCTCTTGGAAGATTACAAATACAGGACCAACCATTAATGACTAATACACTCATCACTGTGACCTAGGGGTGGACTGAACGGTAAAAACCCCCTTTCTTTATCTGTACCCACCACGTAGGCTTTATATGCCTCCAAAGATGGAGTTAATTACATGAACAACCACTTGACTTCAATTGTTCCTTCATTGTTGCATCTTTCGAGACTTGTTGTAATTCTACTTTGCTCAGCTTCACCTGCTTGAGTACATCACTGGCCCACTTGGAGAAATAGGTGTCATTGTAGCCGATTTGTCCACCCTTATATATGTTGAAGCAACGGCGGTCGTCTTCAGGGTACGGGCATGCATCGCCGTTTGGGTCCCTCCATGCACCCTCATGTCTCATCCCTGCCCAGCTCGCGATCCACTGGTATACGTATTGCCCTACTCCTGCCAGTTTCAACCATCCTTTGGGAAAGAACTCCATCACGCTGCTGTTCGTATCCATCAGAAACATGTTCGTCAACTGGGCCCCATGTGGGGACACCAGGATGTCCGTGGACCCCATCAACCTCACCTGAATCAATCAATCACCACAAACAATATTCATGCCCAAAGTTATGTTTGGCTCTAGTTTATAACTTCTCCGTTCACACGATGACAGCAGGAAGGGCAATATATTGCTGCCTGCTGGGGCTCTGGGCAGACTGGGGTTGGGAATCCCCACCCCCAGATCAGAGTCCTGGTTTGAAAATCTTAAACCGTCTTACAGCTAATTAGTGTTCACACAGTATCCAGGTTCTTTCTATACCACAAAAAAAGTACTGGTTCATATGCTTCCTGGGATATATCAGAGACTGATCTGATCACCCAGAACATACGGAGTCGAAGATATAATATAATTCATATAATCGATCTCATATAAAAGAATGCTCGCTCGGCTTTGCTCCATGCATATCCTCGCAAAGTGCACATTTCTACAAGTAGTTTGCATATATAKAGAGAAAATTTAAAGGAGCAACAAATAATTAAGCAATGAATTAACCTGGTCACAAAAGCTGAGATTATTGGAGTAGGCAACCCTTAACCTGCAACCCTCCACCTTCAAACATTCCCTCTTGAAGATATCGATCACCACAGACTCGTTCCTGAACGATCTCGCCCCAGTCCTCATGAACAGCGTCATTCCAATAATGGGTGCCCCCTTTTCGTCAACGTCCGAACTCCTACCCTCCAGGCTCACGTTACAAAACATCCTGGCCTTGCACCTCAGCAGATCATACACCTCAAGCCTCCTCTGTCTCGACATCCCACCTTCATTGTGTCTCATCACAGCGGCCTCTTCAAAACAAGCCGGCCCATCAACCCCATCAAACAGTTCGATATTAAGAGGCTCACCAAAAGTGGCCTCCATTAGGTTACTCAGCCATGGGCTAATATTCGACCTCAACTCTCCCCAGTGGTATAGTACCCACCTGGTAGGCACTACGCAACCCATTCTCCGGTGCCACCCCACGAACGGCATCATGGCTGATAAGCCGTGCCATATGTTGTCGTAATCGTAGTGGTTGTAGGACACGAACGTCAGCCCCTTGAAGAGCGTCGCGTTTTCCGGTAAAGCCTCCGGCCATGCTAAGGCGTACGAGTTTCGTGCACCGTCGTGCTTATCACGACCTAGTATGCAAAGCAACCTCCCTTTCGATGCCTCCGAAGGGAAGTATTGGTACTGCACCTCCCCTTCCTCTTGTGTGTCGTACAGGGAGCTCATGAACCACGTGTGACCTTGCATGGCGGTTTCGGAATATCTTAAATCCTTGAGCGGGAGAAACGTGACGGAGTCGCGTAGCTTGGCGATCATGGATCTCAACTCCTGCGAACAATTTAAACTCAGGCTGGTATGGACAACTTTCTCCCATTTTTCTAAGAAAGACAATGAAGGAGAGGGGGGAGAAAAGGGGGTTTTCAGAGCTTGCATTTGGAAGAGAGTGAAAAGGATAACGCAGACGGCTAAGAGGTAAACAGAAAGCTTTGGTGAAAAGAGATTGGTTGAGAAACTACGTTGTTTGGAGAGCTTCTGGGAGCTTCTCTCGGTTTCTGCAAATATGTTGGTCATGGCGAAGGAGAAATTCAACAAGATAATGATGGAGGAGGGTGCAGATGTCTGGTTTGTTTCTCAGACTCAAAATTGAGAGTTTGATGCGGCCTTTGGGTTGAGACTTGAGAATTGAGAATGACGGAGCGCAATGCGCAATACGGGAACTCAAAAGACGAGTCCAGATTCCCTAAAATTGTTTTCCTACGCTTCCTACAATAACCAAACTTCACGTGAAGCTTGACTCGATATTTGCTACGAACAAGACGTCTTGAAGCTTGACTCGATATTTGGGTGGGTCGGGTTCGGGTCGGATCGAGTTTCGGATTGGGTTGTCAAATGCTAGACCGTAATCCTAAGGTTATGTTTGGTTTGAAAGAAAATGTTGGGAAAGGAAGGAAAATGTAGGAAACCCTTTACAAACCTTATATTGGTTTTCCTGTCTTTCCCTTCCTTTCCCTACCTTTTCCTTTAAACCAAACATAGCATAAATGTTCGGGTTAGGATTGACCCATGGTCAATTTGGATCAACTAAAAAATAACTGAATTTTAAAAAAATAAAGAAAAATTATACGAAAAATGCCAAAATTAAAGGAATTAACCTTAAAATTCCAAATATAAAATAAAAAACTTGAACATTTAACAATTTAAAGAATAAACAATAAAGATTAAAGACTAAATAGAAAAAATTAAAGAGTGRAAACTTYTAACAATGCATTATTTAGTCCTAGTTAGACTTGACAATCAGAACAGCAGGTTGACCCATGACCCAACTCAACCCAACCCAGTTTTTTTCGAGTTGGGTAGGATCAAGTTATTCTTGCATTCAAATAACTAAATATGAGACCCTAACCCTATTTTTTCGGATTGGATCAATTGTTTGCCAGGTCTACTTGATAGTAGGTCCCACTCAAACGGTTTGCCAGATACCACGTCTGAAGGTATTGCAAATCTTAGACCACCGATCGATTCACGAATCAAACGGGTAAGCATGAAGCCACCACGGCACCACATGGTCTTGTCTGGATCCTGCTGCCGTCCGCCGGTCCACGTCCTGGTTTAAAAGGACATAGCTCCGGCGCCGGCGGGGAAATTCAGGTATGTAAACTCCGTATCCAATGTTTGGTTGAGTCACAAGCAACTACAAGGAGTACGGCTTTTACTTTTAGGCATTTAATTCTTGTTTTGGTATTCAAGGAAAGGGAGAGGGGTTGATGCTGGTGCATGGAGGGTATTAGCTTTTGGTGTGGGCATTTGATTTTTTTATTTGAGTTGGTACGAAGTGCGCTTGGATAATCAACATAGTTAGGTTCCGTAGCACCGCTGTGTCCTGGTTATTAATTGTTATTAGTGGAGTATTGGTAATCGGTGAAGTCATATGCCCTATCAAACTAACATTAATATAGTCTAACTCAGCACATGGGGGCCCAGATTTCTATATCCTCTTCCCCCCCACTCCATATACACATATACAGTGTATAAACTATTCATTAATTAATATGGGAATTAGGTCTTCTGTATCATCTCCGGGATCATTACTTTATGAATCAGTTAGTTTTCTACTGCAATGTGAACCATATATTTCGAATTCCCAAAACTAGGCTCTCATGATCTCTGAATCGGATCCCATCAAATAGTTATGGGACCGTTCATTCTGGGATAAAGTGCGTTTGAACTAAATTCTCAGTTTAAGAAGAGTACAAATAGGGCTTTTAAAGGACTGGGTTTGGGTTGAATCGCATCAAATAGATATGGGACAGTTCATTCTGGATAAAGTGCGTTTTGAACTAAATCTCATTTAAAAGAAGAGTGCAAATAAGGTTGTTAATGAATTGGGTTTGGGTTGTATCCCATCCAAATTAAAATCAATATAGAATAGACTGGATGGTTGAATGAATTGGATCACTCTAGACTTAATGGCCCAAAGTGGTAAAATGTTTATTGGATTGGATTTGGTTCATCTATAATGGGTTTATATTGGATTGAGTTCGGTTGAACTAATATATTGTTAATTGGCAAAAGATAAGAGTACGGGTGTTTTTGAAGCAGTTTGGGTTGGACACAATTTGAATTAAAGCCAATTTGAACAGATTGGACTATCTAATAAAACATTGAATTAGATTAGTCCAGTCCAAAATATTTATCAGAATGAATTGGATCTAGTTTATTTTTAATGGATTTATGTTGGATCGGGTTGGATCTCATTGACCAAAAATCCCATGTTTTTGTTTCAGCTATGTGGGGACTAGGGAAAGTTTATTTTACTGTGTATCACTTATCACTTACCTAGAAAAGTGATACCCATTTCCTAGGTGGGTAAATAACTTTCCTACATAGGGGAAAAATTGCCAACACTTGAATAGGTCAAAAGTGCCCCTTTTAATAATGGATTTCTATGGGTAATATGGTCATTGCCTTATTTACCTAGGAAATAAAAAAAATGGGTCAATGTACTTACCTAGGTAAGTGTTTCCCAGAAAAAACTTACCCAGGTAATGGATAAGTAACTTACCGAAAAGCAAACGGGGCCTTAGTGACATGTCAAAAGTAAATGTAGGRAAACCACGTTTATATTATATTGTTTATGATGCTGGGAAAGGAATGCTATTGGAAGAGCATTGACCAATCAAAGCCCCCTCTTGGGGGGGGGGGGTGTTCATTACTTCGTCATATACCCTACACCTCTTTCAAAACATAAGCAAAGAAAAATGGGCACATTTCTTAAAGTACCCTTTAGGTTTAGGAAATTGACTAACTCTACATTTACTATTTACATATTGTCTTAAAATACCCCCAAGTTTTCTGACAATTGTCGTTATTATTAAATCTTGATAGAAATATAAAATCTCAGTTTTGCCCTTCCATTAAATCCTATCTCAAAAGGATATCCACTGTGGTCTGCGGACTTGCAACAGTTACCCTGCAACAACCAATAGTGTGATAGTAAAGAATCGTAAACTCTTATGTGATGAATACAAATAAGAAGAATAGAAAAAGATAAAGAAGATGAAAAAGAAGTAGAAGAAATCTCTCACATCCTTTCCCGCTCCAACCATAAAAGCAAAATCCAAAACTACATCTTTGGCAACAACCATAATGGCATGGGGATGACCAAGAAACATAGACGTAAGGTCTGCATTCTTAGCATTGATAGCGGAGAAATGAGAGGGATCCTCTCAAGAAAAGCCCTAGCTTACCTAGAACAAGATCTCAAGACCAAATTCCAAAATCCATACACAAGAGTAGCAGATTATTTTGACGTTGCCACTGGAACAGGCTTTGGATTACGGCAATGCTCTTTGCCACCAAGGGTGGTAACCGACCCATTTTCCGGGCGGAGGAGGTGTGGAAGTTCTTAGCAAACCAGGGAAAGTATTTTTATCAATCTTCCTCTGGTTCATTCTCCCATGGGGGTTTTATATGGCGATTCTTCAAGGGTGGAGCTAGCAGTTCTACTAATTCAACAACAACCATTCTGATTCGACCCCAAGTCATCAAATTCAACAACCCAGACACAACATCAAAATTCGAACAAAACTAGGCAAAAGTACATATTCTTGGGGCCAAAATCAAGCAAGAAAGACCATGGATCAAGAAATCATTTGAAATCCTCATTTTAAAAAGAGCCTTTAGGAACATCAGATATAGTAATCAGTATTCGAACCCCACAAGTTTTCAAAATTAATATATATACTAGTGGAGGGGGCCCTGCATTGCAGGGGCTTGCGCATAAACTATCAGGCTCGAGCTCGATTCGAATTCGAGACTTGAGCTCGAGCTCGAGTTAAAAGCTTGGAAGTTCGAGCTCAGCTACCTTTGATTGCAGGTCTCTCAAGAAATTGAGGTGCCGAGCCGAGGTCTCCCTCAATTGCCGAGGTGCCAAACCGAGGTCTCCCTCAATTGCTGAAGTGTCAAGCTGAGGTTTCCCTAGCAAGCGAGGTGTTAAGATAAGGTCTCCCTTAGTAGTCGAGGTATCGTCTAGCTCGAGCTTGATTCGAATTAAAGACTTGAGCTTGAGCTCAGAAGTTCAAGCTTGGCTCGGCTCGAACTCGACTACCTTTGATTGTAGGTCCCTTAACAGTTGAGATGCCGAGCTGAGGTCTCCCTCAGTTAGAGAGAGAGATAGTGGCATTCTTGTAACTTATAAGGAGAGAGAAATGGCATTCTTGTAATTTATAAGAAAAAGAGAGAGAGTTGGTTGGAGAGAGAGTAGCATTCTTGCAATTTGAAAGAAAAAAAAGCAAGAGAGAGAGAGAGAGAGTTGGTAGGAGAGAATGGCATTCTTGTAATTTGAAAGAAAAAAAAGCAAAAGAGAGAGAATTGAGAGTGGCATTCTTGTAATTTCAATGATAAAAGGCAAAAAATACTATTAGATTCTATTTCCTCATCCTCGGGCCCTCTTACGTTTCAGGTTAATAGATTTATAATGATATATATGAGAGAGAGAGAGAGTAAATAACATAAACCTAGTGGATAGATGGGTAAATTGAATTGGTGTAGACGTATGGGACATTCGAGCAACTCATGGATGCTAGTGGGGAGAAGCCATGGAGGGAACTGAAGGGATGAGAGATCCATCGTATGGACGCCCAAAACTTGCGGAATAAAGGGGCAAATTTCAAAAATTTCTCTCTCCCTTTCAACTAGGAATCGCATTCCCTATTTAGAAAATCATATTTTCAAGGATTAATCTTGAACCATAAACTGAACCAGATCTGAACCAAAAGTAGTAGGAGAAGATTATACCTGATACGGAAAAGTAATATCTCCCAACGAAGGTGTTCACACCCAAGGAAGGATCCAAAGACCGCTCCCACTAAAGATGGCGCAGTGCAGGCTGGAGCAGAATCAATAGTATTCTTCTCCAAGAATTCTGTCCTTCGCAAGAAACAACAGRATGGCATGCGAGCACAACTTCCTATCTATTCTTTCTCAAAGAATTGATGTCAAGATCGAATCTTGACTTCTCCCAAAACTGGAGATCGAACTGGCAAACAAGGCGGCAAGAAAGAATTCTGCAAGGTTCCTTAATTCTTTCTTCTGTGTTTTTTTGCACTCAAGAGAATGTGAGTATGTCCCTTCTAAAAGCTGCCGCCCCCTCCTTATTTGTTTTAACCCCAAAGGATTAACTCCTAATCTAATTAGGAGTTGCTGATCCAAATCTTATTTGGATC